TTAATTTAAAAGCTAAGCTTTACACATCTAAAAGCTTATAGCTATAAAGCATTTATAATAACTAATAACACATATTAGAATAAATCTAAGCTATAGAGGCTAGACCTAAAGGTGTAGATTAAATATCTAGTTAAGTACTAATTATTAAACATCTACTATGTATAAATACTACTGCTAGTAAAAGTAATCTATACACATAATGTTATTTTTAACAAATACTTAATTTTTAGTAGTAAGCTTAAAAACCTAATAGATAACCTTATACATAACATAGTAAAAGAAATTACTATATATATTAGAATAATTAAGCTTTTAACACTTAGTTATTAGCTAGAGACAAAGTTATTTTATAAAGACAACACTATAAATAATATATTAAATTTTAATAAAGTAGACCTACTAGGCTACTATTAAGAAAAGAAGATTAAAGATAACTATCTATCTTCTCTAAATACTCTGCCACCTGCAGCATTACTTATGCAGTTAATAGCTAGAGCAGCATTAAAGCTAAGCTAAATAAAGTTATTAAAGACTATACTATAAGCTACAGCCTTTATAGCTAGCATAAGATCTAGAAGTGTAAGAAAGCATAGCAGTAAGACGCTAAATAAAGCAGCATTAATAAGACTACTATTTAAAAGAAAGACACTTTATAAAAGCTAGCTACTACTTTTACTATTAACCTAAAAGTAACTAGAGAAGCACCCTCTACATAAAATGTTTAAAGTAGTAGAAAGAACGCACCTAGATAGTTATTAAATAATAAAATTCTAGACAAAGGTCTAGATAAAGCTAATTAAAGTAGCTAAACAGCAGATTCTAGATTGTATGTAGGTGTACACCTACAAGCTTAATAAGCACTATAAATTACAAAAATGTAAGGCGCAACTAGTAGTCTATAGCAATTAACAGAGAAACATTACTACATAAGATACCTACGCTGCTACTCTAGCAGGACGCTTATTTTAGATGCTAATAGTAATATCTACACACTTTAACCTAGAGCTTAAATAATACAACATAACTAACACATTTATACATGCAGCAATTAACTGCAATATCTACATGTAGATGCTAAAAGGCTATTAAAAACTAGATATAATACTAAAGCTTTAAAAAGCACTGTATAGCCTATAAATTTCTTCTCTACTTTAGTAACACTATTTTATAATAACTTTTAAAGGCCTTAGGTTCTTAGCTGTCCTACATAAACTCTACTGTATAACTAAAGCTAGAATATTTGTCTTCTTCTATGTAGACAACTTTATTATTGCGTACAGAAAAGGCTCTAAAGTAGATGCACAGCGTGTAGTAGACTAGTTACAAGAGAAGTATACCCTAATAAAAGGCAAAGACCTATAATAGTTTCTAAGAGTTAAGATTATTAAAGATTAACAGCAATAAATAATTTAGCTGTTATAGGCATTATATATTAATAAAATAGCTAGGCTAGCTAATAAAAAAAACCTGCAGCATGCTACACTTATAAGTAGGATTAAACTTATGCTGTAATCTAGTTTTACAACTTTATTAGAAGTAAATTAATATTAGCAGAAGATTAGATCTCTACTCTTTATAGCAGTTACTATAAGACTAGACATTGCCTTTACCACATCACGCCTTGCACAGTTTCTCACAAATCCTGCATCTAACTATTAGGATGCAGCTAATTAAGTCATCCTATACCTACATGCAACACAGACATACGCACTCTAATTAGGAGGAGAAGACTACTTTATAGTAGCAAGTAATGCGTTATTTGTAAATAATACACTAGATAAGAAGAGCTTTTAGGGCTATGTTATTTAACTATTTAGCAGATAAATTGCATAGTAAGTAAATAAATAAAATATAGTTACAACATTAATAATAAAAGCAGAATTACTTACACTGTTCTAAGTTACTAAGGAAGCTATGTTTATAAGAATACTTTTTAACAAACTATAAGTTAAGCTGCCTAATTTAACTATTATAATTTAGTGTAATAATAAGTAGATAATTTAACTAGTAAATAAAAAAATATCTTAACTTTAAACTAAGCTCTAATATGTTAACATCTATAACTACTAGCTTTAATAGAAAGTCTCTTAATAAATAATTAAGGTTGTTTATGTCCTCTTTAGTAAGATGCTTGTAGACAGACTTACTAAAGCGCTTTTAGCTAGTAAATAGCTAAGCTTTCTTTAGCAAATTTAGCTAGTTAACATTAGAAAGAGGATAGTTAGTTAGGAAGCAGATATAGAAGAGATTAAAGCAAGAATAGAAGCCCTAGAAGCATACTAAGGTTGCGCAATTAGGAACTAGCTTAAAGCATGTCTAAGCTAAGAGGGTGTGTTAGATATGCGCACCTACTGTTAAGACAGGAGGAACGTTTGACAAAAGCTGCTACATAGTACAAGCAATAAGCTTAAACAGTATGTTGCAGCAAATTGCTACATTTTGCAGCATTTTGCAGCATGTTGCAAGCTAGTCGCGCATAGGGCTAGTGCGTAAGGGACTTAGATTAGCAGAACAAAAAGCTAAGCAACACAAGTAGAGCAGAAAAAAGAATTAATAAATTAACATAATTAATACAATTAATTAATCATCCCATACATCATATCTAAACCCATCATTCATCTCAGGAAGCCTAGAAACAGTGCTTCAATCTGACAACTTAATAATTACTTACTTTTTATTATTACTTAGCTTTTATAAGTTAGCTATAAAATTAGCTTATAAAAGTTATTTAGTATGTTAATTATTTATTATTTTTTAAAAAACTTTATACATAGCTATAGCATGTTACTTTAAAAGTATTATGTTTTATTTAAAAGCTTAGAGTATAAGCTATATCTATTATTTTTTTAGCATATTTAAGTAGTGTTATTAGAAATGCAATGGACAAAGGCGTATGAAGTCAGTAGCTACTTTAACAATGCAGAAGCGTATCATGCCATGAACGTCCCTCGAGTCTTCGAGAGCTATTTCTTCGATGTGGAAGTACGTGGGATGAAAGGATTATCCCACTTCGCGCATGCCTGATTGAATTATTTCAATCTTGGGAGAGCTTAGGGCTTCCTGGTGAGTGTCCCTACACCTTCCGGGATGATGAGATTAAGAGACATGAAACGGAGTTCAAGCAGTACGAAGAATGGCGCAGAATACAAGAGTTTGCCAGAGAACACTTGGACACAAACGCAGAGGGGTGGATATCACTAGAAGAAGACTTTGAAGAAAAGTACGAGCAGAACAAAGCTCTCTTCGAAATTCTAGTAAGGTAAATGGCTGGAGAAAAATCACGGGAAGAGCTACGAGCAATGTGGCCGTTCTCAAATCACATGTGAAAACTTAGCCTAAAGAGGATTTGTGATGCGCGTCGAAGCCTGGGTCTTTCCCATTGCACCAAAAGGTACGCACAAGAATACTTAAGCTAAGTATTTCTCGCATAGTATAATATATATATAGATAATGCTAGGGCTAGCACTAGCACTAGCGGTTGCCTCTAGTCTAGCCTAACCCTCTATAAGCGAGAGAAGGCCAAGTGGTTAACCGTGCCTACCTTGTTACACAGACGTAGTATGCCTTAATTAAAGATTTTTAACCTTACTACTTCTTACTTTGTAAGTTCTTTTGTACTGCTAAAGAGAAGAGAGGGGGTAGTACAGTTACACAAACATAGTGTTCTAAATTTACTTAACTTTACAACTTTTAACTAAATGTTATAACGTAGCAATTAGAGTCGTAGAGGGAGGGCCTCTTCCAATGCGCTCTGTAAACTTCTTAAGCTTACTCTAAACAACTTCTGCAAGGCATGTAGAACATTAGGTAAGAGTACCCCCTCTAGAATGTCTATCTAGTGCTTCTTCTGCAAATAGACATTAATATGTTAATATCTACTAACCAACGATTTTTAACTGCTTCTTAATTACTCTAAGCAGAGCAGAGTTTACACAGCTAACCTTTTACCTTACAGCAGTTAGCCTCTGTATACTACAAGTTAGCACTGTGCTGCTGAATGTGAAATAGTTTCTACCTACGTTAAAGCTAGCTAATGTAAGGCCGAGATGGCGCTTACGTGCGACGGGTATACATACTATTTCTGTACGCAACAATCAACCGTTGGTTGATTATTCGCACCTTTTTGGTTGTATTGGCGCAGTGGCACAGGGCTCCGTCCTTACATCTACTACCTTTACTATATTCTCTTTACTATTGCTGTAGCTCTTACTTCTAGCTTTAGCTACTAGACAATTGCTACTCTAAAAATGCCTATCTTAAACGTCCTACAACTTAACTTTTTAGCCTCACAATTGTATTGTAGCGGCTTACAAAGTTACTACTTTTGTACAGCTCACGTGACTGTAGCGAAGTGAAAAGTATCAATCATAATACGTTCTGTTGGACACGCTGAGCGGGGTCTAGGACCATCATTGCTGAGTTTGTCACATACAGCTCTTACGGCAATTTTCTCTTTGCCTGGCCTTCAAGGTCAGCCCAAAGTGCTTCGGGCTCACCACAACACATTTTTGACGTTCAGGCACCATAAACAGTGGTACTACAATACATACAAGAAGCGAAGATGGTCATGTTGTTAGAAGTTAAACAGAAGCAAAAAAGTCGTCGCTCGGAGCTTCGTCTAGAACTCCGAAGTAGAAGTGAAAAAGATAGCAGCTTCATCCCATACGCTCATCTCACGAGCTTGACCCCCCCGTCTAGGCAAAATTCCCAGACGCCGTATATGTCGTGCTTGGCGTCGTCCCCACATTCCCAACTGTCACAACACCCCCAGTCACACTCGTCACCCTCACCGTTACGCTCTCAACCCCGAATCCACTCGCGTTCTCAAAGTAATTATAATCCTTCCTCGTCGTCCCAGCGAAGGTCTTCCCGCCATCAACGCTCACTTCCAACTTTGAAACTGGAACATTGGCGTTTTGCACTTGAATCGAGAACCAGTATTTGCTGGTGCCTTCTTTGTTTTTAAGGACGATGGGTGAGGTGATGCCGCAAGGGACGATGGACCAGGAGACTGGGATTACGCCTTTGGAAGGCGCGGCGAGGGCGCTGAAGGCATCGGGGAAGAGGTCGAGATGGTTGGTGCCGCAGCCGGGACATTGGTCAACAATCTATGGGGGAGGGGTGTTAGAGTTTATGTAGCACAAAAAGTATAGAGAGATGGGAGGAAATGGAGGGAGGGTGGGAGGTTGGGCGTACCATAGCTTTGATATAGTTCCCATCAGGACCCTTTACCGAAATACAGGCACCACAGTTGCCTGCACCGGCCCAGTTCGAGTCGGATAGCGCGGTGCCGTAGATTCCAGATGGGATAGTGTATCCGGTGAAAGAACACATTCCGCCAGCAACGTTGCCGCCGTAAAAGGTGGCCTCGCCGGAATTGGTTCCGCTGAGGGCACCTTCCGTCCCAGTTACTGGGTTAGAGGAGGAAGAAGGGGATGCGGAGGGAACTGCTGCGGCGGAGGAGCTGGGGATCACTACTGCTTCCGATGTTGGGATGTTGGTTTCGACTGGAGCGGCGGTAGACGCATCTTCTATGGCGGAGGAGGCGAAGACAAATGACAAGGTTGATGGGCCGGTTGGACCAGATGGAGCTGATGAGTTGAAGGTTCCATTCGGGAAATAAGGGATTGGCGAGGGGGTCACGTAGATGATTGATGTGACGACAGTCGTTGCATCATCTAGAGCAGAGCTGGAATCTGAAATGGGTGTTGAAATGGGAGCAGCATCCGAAGAGATGGGGATAAGGGTGACGGTAGGCGTGTAGGTCACGGTAACGGTGCCTTGGGAACAAGGTCGCTTGGAATGGGAATGCGGGTGGTGTTTGGAGGCCACAAGGCTGAAGAGGGGTAGCATGAAGAGAAGGGACTTCATGGCGTCGACGGGGATATTTGGTCTTGAACGGCAAGTGGGTGTTCAACACAATGTTTCAAGCAGCAAGAGATTCAGGAATGATCGTATGAAGCGAAGGAGTGAATATGCAGAGAAGGAATGGAATCGAGTCAACAACTCTAAGTCAAAAAGCGAATGGAAGCAGCCAGCGGCTTGCAAGAAAACACTCAAACAAACAGATAGAGTTCGAAGTTGAGTGAGGAAGAAAACTGAGCTTAAGCTGTCCGGCGGGACCACTCGTTTTAAACTATGAACCCACCATCCCAACTCCGCCGCACGCCTCGCCTGTCGGAGCATGTATTTCCACAAAATTCCATGGCCGAACAAAACATGTCAATGCTGTGGAAATGATCAGGAACAAAGTGGGGATGTCCTGTGTCAGCCCGGGATTTCAGCCTTCGTTTCCACGATTATGAGATGTTTGCGCTAGTTTCCGCGCGCGTTCCTGGGTTGGACCAACGCCACGAGGGCTCGCCAAAATGAATTTGACACGGAAGCCTTGCATGATGAGATGATTTCTGAGATGATGGGAAGGGGGTGAGGGGAGATCAAACGTTACCGAAATGAATGGGGCGTTGTTGGGTTCAAGCCACATCAGATGGAAAAATGTTTTGCCGGAAAAGACCCGAGACCGAGTTTGCCGATGTGGCACAACGCCTTTAAAATCCCACATTCCGCAACTAGTGATGCACCGTAGTGATACCCGTGAGGGGATCGATAGTGTTAAGTTTCATAGATCTAAGTTGGTATTCCCGTCGCTTATACTTTGCAGATTACCAGCTCCTCAACTTCTTCCTACCCCGCATCCCCCCTTCCCAGCATACCTTAACTTGGCTCTGTCATCTGATGGCTATGCCTGACGAGGAGCTTTCCCTGTATTTGGCACAATCCCCTTCAATCCCATCCCTATGACGAATGATTTTTCGTCTTCCATTGTCGCCGTCGCTCCCCGTAGGATACAGTTATGCTCCCTGCTGGCCTCATTATGCTGTCCTCAACATCAACTCATCGTCGGTGTCGTCTAGTGGAAGGATTCCTGCCTCAATCAGGAGACCCCAGTTCGATTCTGGTGCGCCGACCATTTTCTAGTGTTTCCACAGAGGAGGGCTGGCTGCGTTCAGGCTTAGAGCTGTTCGTGGGATATATCCACCTAGCGAAGCATGTCTTAACCTAAGCATTGAGGAAAGCAGGTATATGTCGCCCATCCTTACTTCCAACTGGTCTCGTATCCCTCTCGTCAACATCACTCTCTCGTCGATGTAGGCTAAAGGTAAGCCTGTGGACTTTGGTCCAACTCCGTGCCTAACGCAAAGTGCTGCCTTTCCTAGAGGATGAACATTTCCTAGTATAGGCAGATAGTTGCCTATGAGATCCCGGTTCGATTCCATGGCGCTGGCAAAAACCGGATGTTCTCGAGAAGAAATAGAGTCCTTGGTGCGTGCAAGTGTCTGGTGGATGGGAGAATCAAGTGGATAGGCTTGCTAACCTCTTCCTCTTCTCTCTTCCTCTATCTCTATTACTCTTTCATCGGTCTAGTCCAATAGTAAGACGCTTGTCTTTCATCCCCCTGGTGCCCAGTCTATAGCTCTACCTATCGAGGTCGGACCTTTCCCAGAACGAGTGGGCGGTCAGCAGGGAGATCCCAGTTCGATTCTGTGGGGCCGACCGTAATCTGATATTTAAGAGGAAGTGGAGAGTCGTTGGGTGGAGAGCGTGCGCATGCGGTTAGAAGATCGATTGAATGGACCATCGAACTTTTTCCTGTCTCTTTCCCTCTCGCCTTCATCACTATTTCGTCGGTCTAGTATAATGGTAGAACGCCTGCCTGTTATCTTCCCGATGCAATGTCCCACATCTTCTCGGGGATGGGCATAGGCACGATTAGAAAGCTAGCAGTGAGATCCCAGTTCGAGTCTGTGGGGCCGACCAATACTAGATGTTTGGGGGGGAAGAGGTGTTAGATGAAGGGCGCATGCGGAATAGGGCATGTCTTGCTGCTATTTGCTTTGGAGATTAGGCAGTTCAGCATGAGTTGCATGCTCTTTTGTGGTATTATGCTAGAAACCGAGGGAGTGTCTCCGTGAGCTCGTAAGGTTTTAGACATTCCCAATCTTTACGAAAACTGTGGCTGCCGAAAAGTTCGACAAGCCAGGACACGGGAAGGCATTGGTCTTGTGTCGCATCTCAGCTCAACTTCTTTTGAAGGCCGAATTCAGGATCTATTAGTATAAGATACACGAGATTGGTTGCCCAAGACCGTTCATGAAAAGTCCGAGGTGAACCAAGCATCCTGGGCCAAATACCTCAATACTCTTGTAAAGTCCTACCTCCATTTTGATGATCCTACGGTCAGCAAGTCGCAAAGCGATTTATCATATCTAAGGAGATGCTAGAGGCCGTCCCAAAGTGTGATATTGTCTATCATGCATGAGTTGAAGCCTTGTTTCTACATTTGAAGGATTGCCTTGAAGTATGCATTCCTGGTCGATCCAGATAAGTAACAGGCTGAGATTTTTGAGACGAGCGAGAAAGCGCAATGAAGTATCGGCGGCGGACATCTTGGCTGCCGAGAAGTAGTTGCCGATGCCCAGATACCATATCTTGGTACAAGATGCCGGAAGTTTTTATTCGAATTTGTAGGATAACTCTAAGTCTAAGAGGCGGCAACATATTTCGAATCTGTTGTAATTCAGAGGGTGGAGTCACTCTGAGGTGGAACACATTTGGGGCCCCAGGAGGCTGCGGCTCCAGCGGAGTCAGAGAACGAAGATAGGGTCGTGAAGTATGGGCGTGCGAGCCTCTGCGAGTTTTTCTTTTTCGTCCATGCTTTTCTTGAGGGTTTCAACTGAGCCATAGATTTCTCGAATGTTCTGTTTGTCTTGAGCAGCATGATTGGGTCACATTTAAAAGTTAGGATGTGCTCCAGCGCTTGGCTACGGAAGGTCGTTGGTACAATGCACGAAATGGGATGACAATGGCCGAAGCCTGGCGCTTGGACTTGGACATAAGTAAATTGGTATCAATGATATTGAACCGAAGACACTTACTTTCATAGGCTGTTGAGAGTTGCGGAGATTCTTCAGGTAGAACACACATCAGGTTTATGCTCTCAAGATTCCCTGTGGCATGAGGTGGACGGGGCTGAGCTCAAAGCACATGCATATGCCAAGGATATAGGCGCTCTACTCTACTTCCAGATACTTTGCGATGTACTCATTGTAGCTATACATACAGGCCCGCTGAATTAGAGTTTTGCTACCTTTGATATCATCACAGCCAGTCTTTGACGTGATGCAGGAGAGATGCTCCAGTTGTACTCGAGAGCTAAGTATGGGGTGACGTTTCATGAATGAGCCGGGTGAACATCGATCCCGTGGTAGTTGACCTGAGAACTAATGAGGACTATTGACAGATGGTGCAGTGTTGACAGGACTATGAGTGTTTCGAAGGCTGAGGGATGGCGCAAGCGTTGCTAGTCCTAAAGCGGCATTAGACCTCGGCAAGTCGGAGCGAGTGCTACCTTCACTGCGCTCGTCTTGGCAAATGACTCATTTTGAATCATTACCCAATTATACAGCCTTGTGATGAAATACTACCATTCTACAGGACACAAGGACGTCACAAAACGCAACGACTTTGAAATGACTCCTTTAGCTGAGCCTTGAGTGGAACTAATCTCGCATTCATCGTCCTTTTTTGGGTAGGCCCTTGCTAGACTCAAAATCCGGTCCGAAAAGCCTCCAACATATATTTTATTCAAGACCTAGAGGCATTCCCTAATTATCTTCCCCCAAGAGCTAGTTTCCACCAATTCTCCTTACTTTATTTTCCTCGTTTTTACTGCGTTATTCTCACCGTCCTCCTGTTAGCTTTCTTCCCAGTAGCCATGGCGACTGCACCATCTCTCATTACGGAAGAGGGCCTTAGAGTGTACCTCAACGCACACTCCGTCGAATACACGGACGTCAAACTCCTTACAGGCGGCACAGCCAACTATGTCTACCGTGTTACCCTCACAGATGGACCGCCAGTCATCTACAAACACGCAGCGCCCTACTTGTCATCCAACACCAGTTTCGCCTTTGACCATGCGCGAATGGACTACGAAGATAGTGCCTTAGAAATCCTTACCCATATGCTGGCAGAAGCGCTACCGGAATCCAATGTCCATGCCGTAGGGTGGTACAGCTACGACCGAGAGCAGAAACTGCTGTGTATCGAGGATGGCGGCGACCGCGATCTGAAACACGCATATCCAGATTACAAACTTGATATCCTAGAGATTGGAAAAGATATTGGGGAATGGATCGCCACGCTACATCTGACTTCGACACGGACCTCGCTCTCTTTGACTGATGAACAAGATCTCAAAGCGAATAATCCAATTGCAGTCAACATATACCGGCACTCATACCATAACCTTCATCTGGCGTTCTCAGAGTATAATCATGATGTGAAGTTTGCGGAATACATCAATGAAGAATTCGGTAGCCGTCTACAAGCAGAGAACGAGTGTGTCTGCCATGGCGACTTCTGGCCCGGGAACGTATTGGTCAAGCCTAAGGATAGAGAAACAAGCGCCACTCTCACAGTTGTGGATTGGGAGATGACTCGTCGTGGCAATAGTGCTACAGACGTTGGACAATTCGCTTGCGAGGCATTTCTATTGGACCGGTTTCGGGGAGGCCGAGGCCTTCGTCGGGCGTTTTTGAGCTCATATGTTGACGTGAGAGAGAGGAAGGCTATAAAGGGTAAGAGCGAGATCGGAAGGGAGTGGGTTCGGCGCATGGCGGTGCATTGGGCCGTTCACGTCGCATATTGGCCAACAAGGGTTGAATGGACGGATCGGGAAGGAACACAGAAACTGGTAGATCTGGGAGTGGAGGTCATGAAAGCTGCCGTGGATGGAAACTGGGAGGCTCTCAAGTCATCAGAGCTCTTCAAGGATGTTGCTGAGGTATGGTCGGGGGTTTGGGAGAGGATATGAGCGTTTTATCAGAGTGGCTGCGGTGATTTGGACTCGAATAATCTTTTGAGGTGCTTCTGGACAATAATTAAATGGAGGTACTTCAATGTAGATTCCCAAAGCGGTTAGACCAAGCCAGTATGTGTGATGACGTTCCCGAAATCTTTCCGCTCGGAAATATTCCGGCCGCTCCGATATTCTCTGGAACTCCGACAAGAGTCACTCTTTACTCTCGATACAATCAACATGCATTCGCTACCAAGGCAAATCCGGCCTTTATACGCGTCACTTTTGCAATTAAAACATAAAACTCAAATACAATTGCCTTCTCAACGCCTATTGGCAGGATGGACGCGTTCTTTCCACGCCGGCACGAGCCTGAGAGTGCTGGAACTCGCTTTCGACTACCATGAGAACGGAGGGAAGGTGACAGGCGCCCCAATTGTATTTCTTCACGGATTATTTGGGAGCAAGAGGAACAATCGTAGTATGAGCAAGTTCGTCTCCAAGCATCCTCAACTACTGGCTCGCCTTCACTCTCGCCTTTCACCCTCGCTTATCGACTCGCCGTCCACACCTGCGCTAACCCTCCCTCTCTAGAGCTCTAGCCCGCGATCTATCTCGTCCCGTATACGCCATCGACCTCCGAAACCACGGTGACTCGCCTCACCACAGAATCCATAACTATACCGCTCTCGCTGAAGACACCGAAAACTTCCTTCAACAACACAATCTCAAGGATGTAACGCTAATTGGTCATTCCATGGGCGCGAAAACGGTAATGACAATGGCACTGAGAGATCCGGATTGTTGCGCGAACATTATCGCAGTAGACAATGCGCCCGTGGACGCGGCGCTCACTAGTGACTTCCCGAGATATGTTGAAGGAATGAGGCGGGTTGAGGAAGCAAAGCTGATGGACTTAAAGGAGGCGGACGAAATGCTCGAGCCGTATGCGAAGGTATCCATAGCCTCTCCTCCATCCTTGCCATTTACTTGCGGTGCAGAAGATATCATTCTCAAATTTTGAGCTCAATTGACCTGCGCAGGACCTTCCCGTCCGCCAATTCCTCCTCACAAACCTCATCCGCCCCTCACCCTCCGACCCGCTGAAATTCCGCATCCCCGTACGCACGCTCGCGAATGCGCTCGACGACATGGCTGACTTTCCCTTCACCAATCCCGATGCGCAGCGGTTTAACAAGCCAGCGTTATTCGTGCGAGGGACGAGGAGTCATTATGTCACCGATGAGACGCTGCCGATAATTGGGAGATTTTTCCCTAGATTTGAATTGGTTGATATAGAAGCGGGGCATTGGGTCGTTAGTGAGAGCCCAGAGGCATTTCGTCAAGGTAAGTGGCTTTTTCTCGGTTGAAGCTGTTAGTTGCTAATGTTCGATCAGCGGTTGTTGAGTTCTTACAAGCCAAAGAATAGATTAACCATAGACTTTCACATACCGTTGATAGACTCACCTGTCTTGCTCACTGCTCCCCCAATCTACGATTGGAACAATTTCCATCATATTGATCCCACCGACAGCTGTATCTCCCCTATCAGGCGGAGCTCTCGTTGTGCGCACGGACTAATTTCCACACTTCACCTGAGCGTTTGTCGAACCTGATACCGCACCTATGCCCAATAGGACGAGCTCCTCTCTCGCCTAGTATATAAAGTATATTCAGGCAGGAGCTACCTGTGCTCCTTGGGCCTTATACTACCGCTTAATACCTCAGTTTGGCTCTCACCAAGGCGACTTGCTCTCCTATCCTTAACCCTCTGTCTGCCTTCGAGACAATTTTCGGCGTGACTCCCGAAATAGGAATTATCTCATTAGCTAGAAGGGCAGAGGGGATATCTGGCCGTCGCAGAATATGGTCCACCTCTTTGGCAACTACGATTTGGGATCTATCGATAAAGGTACCATTGTAGATGTTGCAGGATCCTATGCTCAAGTCACCACTGCTATCCCTAAGTCACCTAGTATGAACTGCGTCGTCTAGGAACTAAGACCACTCCCTGGGTCGCGAGAAACCCGCCGCGCTAAGAAAAATAGTAGAGACTTTAACTTTCAGCAACTTAGACCCTCTGCACCCATTAATTTTTACTATATTTCAGCATAGTTTGTGTGCTATCGCTGCTTCTAAATATCCAAAACCTGTCCTCCCTAGAACATTCCGTATGCATTATTGCCTTTGTGTCTAGTCATACTAAACTACTTTTTACAGTATACTATACTTTCTTTTCTATAGCGATACTATTAAGCTTTTACTACTTATAGTATTCATAAAAGGTGTAGATCCAAGTATTAGAGCCTTACGATAGTGCTAGGGCGTTCTTATTTGCTTGTCTGCTGTAGCAAGCAAATTAATGCATGGTTGCTACGCAGGTTAGTACCTCTAGTGAAAGCCATTACTAATTCTAACTAGTTAGTGCAAAACTAAAACAATCCCACCTTGCATAATTGTTACGGTGTGGTTTACCTTTTGTGGCTATAGGGCCTGTAGCTGTACAGTCTTAGCAAGCGAGCCGACCTTAACCCTGTAGCCTTGCGGTCTCACCAGAACCTTAATTATGCCTCCAGTTAACACCTCAAGTTTTTGAGACAGGATGAAAGGCTGAATATTTGGACAAGCTACTAGGCTGAGGGAAGGTGCGGCCGTAGCAGGAGTTGCTTCTTGCGCTATGCCCTGCATTATCGATAAAGTTAGGCTTGTTCATCGCAAGGCGCTGCGCTGCAGGTTGGCGACTACGCCGCATACGAGAGACCCTGATAGCAACGATATGTGTCCTATAGCAATTGGCATGCATGACTTTAGCCTTACGTTAAAGTGCGATTGTAGCAAGAAGGTCATTGCGAATGCTGAACTGGTGCAGATACGGGCGGCCAGCCCGTGTCAGCATGCATAAATACAAGTGAAATCTAAGTGTCACGAAAGTATCCGAGCACTAAACATTGCCACATCAAGCAGGGGGGATAGCGGACCCGCTTCGACCCTTACCTCATGCGAGAGGTGGGATCCGCTCCATCCACCCCCTTTGTGAGAGACGACGAGGATATTCACCTTGGAGATTCCTTTAATAGAATTTTAGCGCCTGGCTTAACTGGTTCCTGCTGCAGAGCGGGCCCTGTCAAGGCAGACTGAACGGAAGTATCTCTGGTGTAGGCGTGGGGAGCGGAAAAGCGAACAGGTCGGCAATGGAGCGCTTGGCACAGAAAAACGAGTAGATATGTGCACGATAGGGTGGCTCGGGCAACGAAGGCCAGGAAGAAAGCACGGTTCGGTGGTGACTAAGGTGGTAGCGATACAGTCCACGGAGAACTGCTGAGGTCGGACAGCGTAACGTTCGGCGGAGAAGCTCCAATTGCAGGAAACATTGGGCCTAGGGCGAGACATGGTGGACAACCAGTAATATGCAGTATGGGACCGTTAACTTGCGCTGCGTGAACTGTTAAGGCCTACATTGGTCGTTCAGTCCCATGTGCCCTGGGTACGAGAAAGAGGAAGAGTGGATCCTCGAACGACAACGTCATAAATAAGGAGCTGAGAATCTCCCAAGCAAACATGAAGAGAGGGAGGGAAGCGCAGTTGTAGGTATAGCGGGGATTAAGAAGGGCGAGTTTGCACTTCTGTGGTATGGGATATGGGGAGGTGGTGAGCTAATGCGATTGTGCCGGTGATTGGGCCTACGTGTACGTAGCAGTGGGGGGTGTTGGTCTCGCAGCTATCTGGATCGTGAAGCACTTAGTGCCACTATCATTCCGACGGTAAGGACCCAGCACATGACGTATTTTGTCTGTCTTTTAGTGCGGACTTCGTAATTGACTACCGAAAACGCTATTGGCTTGAAAAGGCGAAGAAGCTGACTTCCAATAGATGTGGTGTGGACATCGCATACGACCCTGTGGGACTAATAGCCCAGTAAATAAGTGCACAGCTTGGAACGGGAGACTTCTCGTCGTTGGTTTTGTAGCCGTTGACATCGAGAAGATGACCATGAACATAATCTTATTGAAGAATATTAATGTTGGACTCCACTTGCATGTACTCGGCCATGGAGCCGGAGATGGTGGACATAGTCTGGGACGGCATATTCAAATTAATGAACGCTAGAAGGTACAGAGGAACCTGCTTCAAGGGCTAGGATTACATTGGCTTGCAGAATCTCCTAGCTGACCTAAGGGGTTAGGTAGCAGAGATAGTTGGGTAAAAGTAATGGTGAATGTACCTCAGGATGGTCAAAACAAAATGTGAAGAGAGGCACAGGCTGTTACGGAGCTTTCCAAATCGATTATACATTGTGCACTGGGCATCATGGCTTCTCCTTTACCTCGTAGCCGTGAATCGCGTCCATAATAGTGCGCTAGATTCGCCTCTAGATCGGCTTAACCAGCGAAAGCAAGAGAACAAACATAACTTTATTACATGAGCCTTTCTTATGACCAACGATTTAAACACACTTAAGTATTGGTTGCTGACACTCTTCCAAGTTGCTTTAGAACCGGATCGTAACGTAAGAGGCCTAGGAAGCATCGCCACCGACAGAACTTTGTCTAGGCACAAGGGTAAAAGACTCGCGGGGTACCTTGTTGCTTTGCTATGCCTTGAAAAAGACAGGTATTCAAACCATGATGGTAGTTGATGCCAAAGTTCGCGGCAGTCGTCGAATACGCCGATCTGCGTAAGCGGTCTCAGCCGAACTTTTATGCTTTGGCATATAGACAACGACGAGATCAGACGGTCAAACCTGCGGACGAATTCGGTTTGGCCGCCTGGCGTAAAGTCCCTGCACCGTTTGTGCAGCATCTCACTTCGTCTTTCTTCCATGAAACATTCGATCGAGTTTCGAAGTGCGATAGGAGACGGCAGGCATTCCCGCGTACTTGCGCTCTGTACGACCGGTCACGCAATCCAATATGCTTCCCACAATATCCTTCTTGCCAATCTCGTTCCCGACATCGAGAACTATGCAGCCTTCAGGTTTCAGGATGCGGGCAATACCCTCGATCCTAGACTCTTCTTCTTCATCACTACCGTACGGGTTATCACTCTTCTCTCCTATGCAAAGTAATATCTGAAGGGGTATATCCTTCTCATCATTGTGGACCTGCTGAGAGAAATTTAAATTAGGGTTTCCAGTCAGATATGAAGTGTGCTGTACGCTTGTTAGCCGAGAAGCCGCTGTTCTTACTAGGCGACCAACCTCGTATATATGGCATGTGACGTGGCGACCCTGGATTTTCTTCGGACGACTTTTATACAGAGCTTTGTCTTTGTCAGTCATTTGAATCCATGCTTTTTCCTTGATCGTGGAATCGTCTTCCAGCTCCGTCCAAGGCTGGAGAAGGCCAATGCGGGAAAGCGTGCCTGCGGTGTACCTATTGCGCAAACTTGAGTTGTATGAAATGCAAATCAAAGCATTTTGCCAGATGTCTTTCCAACCGTCGCTGACGGCGTGAGACAAGCTCTCTTTGATACTTATTAAGGTTTTCTGAAGAGGTCCATCATGTCCATCATAAGTATGCCTTACTATCTTCCACCAGGTGGCCGTGCCATAACGAATGACGATAAATATTTTAGTTTTCCTGGGTGGAGCAAAGAGCATCTGACGTGGTTGATAATTCTCTAGGCACATGTCGCGAGGTTTGCAGGTGACCGCAGTGTATCTTGTGCGAGTGTGCTCATCCTTTCCATCCAGTAGTGGCCGAGGCGGAAAAACACTAAGAACTGATGAGGTAACTGAGACGTCGAAAACAAGTTCTCCGTGGTGATATGGCAGCCTAAAAATAGGTGGATCCTTTACTGCGCGGAAATCTCCCTTCCCGCCCATAGGTATCAGTTGTCCCAGACCAGCTTCTCCCTGGCCTGCCAATCCTGAGTCTGGCTCTGATGATTCGTGAAGTAATTTAGTTTCGGTATCATATGTCATTGGATCTTTGGGTGGTTTTATTTCCCCATCTATAACCACCGGAAGAGATTGTCGAGGGTCTACTTCCGATCTTGAAAGGAGCTTGAGGTCGGACACTCTTGTGGCAAGCGTGCTACCTGGATTTATTTCTCGGCTGGACTCCTCCGCTAGTAGTCTTTCGCCATCGACATCTCTAGAGGCAGAGTGCTTGATACCCTTGCGATGCTGCATGCCATTAATTTGCTGGATGCTGGCGTCATTCTTCTGTAAAGGGAGTTGGGGCACCATCCCTTCTGATTTCCTACGACCCTTCAACTGAGGTTTACCAGGAGAGGCTGTATGTCCCGCGGATCCAACCGATTCTCTATGAACCTTCAAGGGGCGAAGTTCATCAGGCGAGATCAAATGGGCTCCCAACCCTCCTATATGGTGGCGGTGACTTTGTGGCAGGCTACCAGGTGGATTATTGAGGGTAGTGCGGTCCCTGGGTTCACCATTGTGCATTCCTTTGAGAGCGCCAGACCGTACGTGTAAGATCGCTTCTCGGTCAGTCGCCGAAGGAGAAGTCTGAAGCAGTTGGGGACTACCATCAACCAAACGCCCAGATCCGAGTGTTTGTATTGGGTCAGTTGCACTATGGGCATACATTTCGGGCCTCGGCTGTTTATCATCCACAGAGGGTGGAATAGCATCAAGTCTGAGGCTAATCGATTGGGATGAATGTGATAGTTGGTGATGATGCAAATTGTTTGGGGAATCGGAGCAATCACCAATGTCCAGCGGGTTATCTTTTACCGTGTGGGCATGGCGTGGTGATGAAGTGGCGAGATGGGCAGTGGTATTCTCGACCTCATGTTGGGTGGGCGCGCCAGTGGTTGTTTTCGTTGAGGGTATCCCTGTCGGGGATGCAAAGACAAATCCAGAAGCACCTGGTACTCCAGGAAGGATATCAGACCTAGGTTGAACTAGCGGAAGTGCGGCCGTTGGGGATAAAGGAGTGATAGATGTATCGACTGTTACATCAGGGAGTGAATTTGCTCTTCCTAGAGAAGAGGCAGATGTGTTGGGTTCGCTTGCAGGTGGTTTCTGAGATATTTCGACTGCAGGAGAAGCTGGTCGACTAGTAGTCGAAGAACTTGCACTATCGGACTGACCGACAGAGAAGGGCTCGTAAACTGTCTCTGCATAGCTCGTGAGGTCATCTAGATACCTCTGTAACATGAAATTGGAGTTGCCTCTCGGAGCGTCCACTGGAAGTCTTGCTTGTAACCGTGCAATTTCCTCCAATATCTGCGTTGTATCATCCTTAATCGCCGTCACGTTGTCGCAGAGCTGTCCAGTGTCCTTCTTGATATCTCTGGCTATAGCATTGTTCCCTTTCGCAATGGTACTGTTCGCAATCACCATTAGCGTATGGTTACAGTCTCTGCTGAAAGGATGGAGAAAGAGCATTTACATCGCTACCATATCTAGAGCAAGCTCTAGGGCAGACTTATGAGCTTCCAAGCCAAACCTCAGCTTCGCCATATCTCCCTTCCCTCCTCCCACTGTCCAATATCCCGCCTTGCCTAGCTTTGAGTCTCCATGATTTTTCAGCGAAGCTTCCATCTCGGCCACAACACCGTCGCAGTTCATGATGATCCCGAGGATTTGATTTTGAAGAGTTGGTGGAATGGTTGTATTCGATATATCGGCGGTGTCGTCAGCCAGTAGCTCCAACACGGTCTTAAGGGATAGAAGCTCCCTGGAAATTGCGTCTAGATCTCCGCGAGCGTCTCTCACATCCCTGACGAACCCAGTCACCAAGGCTGACGTCTTTGCAACCGCCCCAACGAGTGTTGCACAGGACACAGATATGGAAAGCGGATCCATTATGGGATGAGAGAGGTGATAGAAACATAGGTGGGGCTTCCGACTTGCATTGAAAGCGAAAGCTGAAGGTGGCGGTGGCTGGGCCGAATAAGCAAATTCGCTAGCCCTTAAAATTTGTAATGGGCTGCCCAATCAACCTTGGGCTCGGCGTCTCGTCATGCTCCATTGTAGCCTTGCAGTGGGCATGAATCAAATAGCTCCTCGCGGTATCTCAGTCCAAAATACATCACTTCTCTCACAACTCATGCGCTCTGCATGGCTACAAATTTGATGTATCAGTCCGCGTGCGCATCTACCATGATGTGCAAGAAAAAAAAAGAAAAAAAAAAGGAGATGATTTTGTGAGTATTGTAGTATTAATTTACTGCCTAATGAACAGCAAGAACCACTATGAGCAGTATGACAGCACAGAATGATGCCGTTAGCACTAGCCATGGTGGGGCAGGCTCATGAAGAATGACAACTAAGGTTAAGGCAAAAATACTATTAGAATCTAAAAATTTTGTTTCAGCAACGGCAGTAATTACATCATCGACGACGGTGATTGTATTGACAACGGTGGTGAATTGTATCTCGAGAGTTGAGCGCCGATCAAATTGGTTGGATGGACCCGGTTCGGAGAAACTATGACCCGTACTACGAGCCGAGACTCCGATGACGGATCGCTACTTCCTTGTGAGACAATGACCTGCCATCGTCAACTTCATTTTATCAAGACTTCTCTCTTATTCACCTTTAATTTCAGCCGCGTCTATGCTGGTCATTCCTGTCCGACTTTTTCTACTAGGCCACAGGCCAGCGAATTGACAATGCTACAGCTGTGTAACAAGTGCCACGTCCTAATCCGCACACAAGCAGTTTCCCTTCTCGTTTAGAGAATTGAGCTGCTCCTGTTCTGCCCTGAGCTGCTCCTTACTGTGTAGTTGGGGTGAGCAGATCCCGAGTTGAGGCTGAGTAGCCTGAGCACGGGCTTGAGTAACACAAACGCCCCTTGCGCGCGCTAGAGCGGGGCCTGTTTCTGGCCTCTCGGAGCCGGCTATTCTTTCCCGGACCCACCTGCTGCTTGATGCTAACCACACACCACCAAAAGGTACCTAGAAGCTGTCCCATTCGTCCTGGTGATCAATTCCACTTCACATCCAACTAGACAACGATCGGGGAACTATTGAGCACAAAATCTACATGGGCCCTGTATTTGCTCTCATTATTGACTTCGTTCTTCTAGTTACGATCTGATAGCACGAATCATTTTTTACCACCGCGACTCCTCACAACTGTAGTAGAAGAGCTTCGATGACGGACGGAGGCAGATGACGCCGTGGGCCAACATGCTCAGCCCGGACTCGCATTCCGCGCCATTGGACAAGGCTTACTTGCCATAACTCTCCTTCTAGCCATACAAGCAGCGCTTCCAGACTCCGAGATTGCAAGTGCGACGGGAATGTATGAATTCCTCAGATCCTTCGGATTCATCTGGGGTGTCACAGCCCCCTCGTTGATATTCAACGCTTTTTTCGACAGGGAATCCTATCGGGTCTCGGATGCAGCGATTCGGGAATCCTTGGCGGAGGCAACGCATACGGTTCAGCAAGCATTGAATATCGCACCAATCTCTCCGTGCCTCTTCAGGCAGAGATTGCCCAAGTTTATGAGCTTTCCTTGCAGATAGTGTGGCGTATTGCAGTCGGGTTTGCCTTATTCGGGTTTCTCCACAGTTTTGGAGCTCGTCAGCTAGAACTCCGGAAGCATGTGGCAGGGGATTTCCGGTTGAAGGAAAGGGAAAGTAGAGAAGTTCCATACGCACGGCAAGACCAGGGTAGTAAGTGAGCTAGCCCATTGGCAGATAATGAGGGTGCGGATGAAGAATTACTTGCAGGAAGGAAACCACTATTCTGTGGAATTTAGCACATCCAATCAAACGCTCTCGAAGCTCTGTGATCTAAGGTGGTAGTATTGTGAGAACTGTGCCGTAATGCTGATGACGCATGGAGCGGATGGGACAGCGCCGCCATATGACAAATCGACTGGCAGTGCCGCAATAAGCGTAATCGCCAATGCAGGCAGAAGTGGAGATTCAATCTGAACTTGAGGTACGTCACGTCTATTCTCGTCCCATTATTGAAATGATGGGACAGCTTTGTGACTGATTGAATTGTCTCCGGACGAAACTCTGCAGCAGATTCGAACGCACGAAGTTGAGCATAAGCTTTTGCCTAGAACACCTCCGCCCTCTCGCTTACCGCCCCGTGGGTCGGTGGTCTCAAACGATGGGGTGTCGCTAGAAGAGCGGGCGTTGGCTTCCCATATCCGCTTGCCTCGTTGCACAGCATGCGCATCGGTGTCCAAATTAGCGCCCGCGTGGGGCACCGGGGCAATGAAAGTCGTTTCGTAGAAGGTACAACATCTCTGCGTTGGTGTCTGACGTGACAAAAGAGCATTGCGGATTCCGCTCCCGCCTTGGCCTTTTTACGTAGTTGTGATAGAGTCGAGGACGTAGTTACTTAAACCAGCCCTTCTGTCTTCACTATCAATGCTTTCAGCTCCAACAATGACTGCCAGTACCGCCTGGGTCGATGGCCCTTTCCAACTATTGGAAACACCTTCTGCAACGAAAAATGTGGTATGCATCGCCATCTTTATGTCCCGCGAAGCCGTACTCGAGTACTCAAGTGAAATTTGGTTAGGATGATCATCCCGCTCATTACATCGCAAACGAGGTGGCATTTGCCCATAATGCTATGCTACGAGGACCGAATGCTATTTATCTCCAGGCGCCGCATATCAGTGCTACAGATATTTCCGACTTTCTTTTCTTTGTTGCCTCATGGTCCGCATGGGTGGTGCACCACTATACCATTGAAGAAGACAAAATGTTCCCACTATTTGAATCAGTCTCTGGAGTCAAGTCTCTTCGGCAGAACGTCGAACAGCATCATGCTTTCTCTGGTGGGCTCGCTGAACTCAATAAATACGCAACCACTACCTCAACAGAAGGGTACTCGGGCCCCAAAGTTCAGGAGATGATCAGATCGTTCGGAAGCACCCTCCGAACGGATCTTGGGGACGAGATTGACACTCTTTGGGCTATGGACTCCGTTCCAGCGAATACAGCTGGAAGTGAGCGACTGCTCTCAATCTACAAGCAGTGTGAGGCAGAAGCTGGAAAACAAGACAAGGCAATCGTGCCACCAATGGTACTTGGGTTGTGTGACCGAACCTTTCAAGGTGGAAATGATTGGCCAAAAATGCCTTTGGGATCGGCTTGGATCGTGCATTACATGTTTGGGAGGAAGCATCGTGGATCTTGGAGGTTTCTTCCGAGTGATACTTGGAGAAACCCTAAGAAGCTTTATGCTCTAGGTGAATGAATCAATATGACTGTTGTACCTAGGTACTTAGAGGAGAGGCCCAGTCTATACATCTAGGAAACTTTGTCTTACTTGCATGTTTTATTTCCCAGAAGTGTATCACCCACAGAATGATTTAGACCTATTCCTGAATAAGGGACTATCTCTTACCTGTAATTGTGAGTATCTTCCCTCCAGGTCAGTCAATCGACGTTAGTCCAGTATGTCCTCGCTACATCATCATGCATAGGATGTCGAGTCCGCAAAGTTTCTTTGGAGCAGGAGTTTGGGCCGGTAAATTATCAGTTTTAGGGGCGTGTAGAACTTCTAATATAGTCCATAGAGTGTAATGAAAGAACCTAACAATTAAAATTGCTGTCAAGTGGCACGCACCCCTGTTTCCAAAGCAAGAAACAATCTCGGTAGCAAGCAATTTCCTATTAGTATAACACTTACGTTGACTTAATTGCACATAATAAGTTTGTGGCCCTTACCGCTTAATAGCCAACTAGATCGTTTACGGTGAATTTGTGGAGAGTAATCGTATTTTCCAAGGCGACTACACTTAGGGAACACCAGCATAGATCTCTAGGAGGCTGCAGCTACATGTGCTATTATAGGCGAATTAAGCTTACTAAAATGTTGAACATCGCTCCATAAGCGTGTTGTGCTACAGAACCAGTGACAGCAACTGGGCCCTTTGAGCGGTGGTAGAGGCAATATGACATTGATACACTACAGATACTAACTTCACAGTCTACGTAAGAACAGTATTGTACTACTAGATCTCGGATCATAACTAAGCTGATACCCGATAGGAGTGTGAATTATACCCTGTAGCGCGTCAGCTAGGGAAGCTTCTGATCAAGCATAGACCCCTACCCAGTTGTCCCACACAACCATATCACCTTCTTCTCACGAAGGCATTAGGGTGTACTCCGGGCAACACGTGCGGTCGAGAATAGCCTTCAGCCAAACGCGTATCTCCTCAAGATCCTCTACAACAGTCTCCTTCCCTCCAGAGTATTCTTCAAGTAAAGTTTACGCACACATTGAGGCATGATGTGAAATCCGTTCTCACTGATAACAGGATTCAGCCAGACCAAGAAATACTTGTAGATTTTGTCGGCTTCCCAGGTAGGCAGTTTATCAAGCGGCACTGTTTCTCCCCCGATGCGGTTCCCAAGCTATCGGAAGCATACATTCTGGTGCCTGACCAGCCAAAAGAATGCCGAGCCGGTTCCCAATAGCTATGATCTGCGACCTGCCCCTCTTCGTCGCTCAAGGCATTGTATATCTGGTGCCGTTGATAAACGCCAGGCTAGCAGTTCGGCACCTTATTTTTGACCTGGATCATCTCCCACATTGGCCGTCACCTCAGTCCCATTGGGTTACTTTACACAGCGGAAGGCGTTGACATACGAAGGATGGGCTCCATAGATGATATCATCGAAGTAGAAATGGAAGAATTTAGCCTGACCGTTTGTGAACTGCTCTAGCGAGAGAGGATCGGCGTGGAAATCGACGTGGCCGAATCCATCGAGAGTAACGTCTTTCAGACTGTAGTAATCTTCATCTTGGTACCCGTGGCCTACGAGCCTTACGCCTCCGGAATCAGGAATTTGATAGAACAACTTTTTCTAAAGAGGAGGCCAGTCTTCTACAGAAATTGTGCCGTGAAACAGCACACGCCGATAGCTCCCAGCTCCGCAGTCCCCTTTCCGTGCCCGAAGTCATGGGTTAGTTTGCAGTCTGGATTGAAACGACGCACGAAATCGAATTGTTCGGATAGGAGAGGGTCTTTTTAACCTTTTAACACGACAACATTCTTGGTGTAAACGGAATCTTGCAACCTCTGGAATAACACGTCGTCGAGATTGTTGAGATTAGCTCCTGCGATGACCGCCCTGAACCTGTTTAGGCAAGCGCACATGATATCGTTTCTTCCAACTGCGTAGACTTACGTTGGTTTTTTTACCATGGCCGTGTCCTAATGATGTGAAAACTATGTCGCCCCTGCTAATCAGCCTAGCTGAATTAATTTAATAGTTAATAAAGAATTTTTTTTGAATATTTATAACTATAAAAAAGATGTCTATGTAGTAGCTTAGTGCATGTAGCAAATGTCTAATAACAGTGTTGAATTAATAAAGAAGAAGAATCTTATCCTTGCTACAGAACTAGGTTTTATACTGCTACACCTAGCTAGCTTAGCGCCACTTAAAACACAACTAATGCGTACCGAGGTTTGCTTCCAGTTGCTGAAATATGCAGCAATATGTAGCAATATACTGTATACCCTCCATAATGCTGCTAACTAATCCTTAGCTAATACCCCTATGCACCAGCCTATTACAGTCTATATATAGAAGCTTTCTTTTATTAGAATAATTATTATAGTTATGGTTCTGCAAAAAGCTGCTAGGACTCTAGCGACCTGAGGAACGTGTGCAGGTTGATGTCGCGCTTCAACGCACTCAGTCTGTTTTCAGCAGTTGTATTAGTAGTTGTGTTATTAAGCACGTCTTCAGAGGTGCGGACGAGCCACCTCTAGAGCAACTTGATGCGGTAGACAGAAGGCGCAGCTTTAAAACGCGTTAGGGTCTTGCTAGGACAACTCCTCCTAAGGATTTAGAGAAAAATTAGCGTGAACAAGCGCTTAGATAGAAAGAATTTTACTCGTTCAACTTCCACATCATTATCCAGTATATTTTAAAGGGCCCAAGAAGGAAGAATCGCCTAATTGCGTTCTTTGTCTAGTAATATTGGTGCATCATCTTGCTAAGTCGCTGTAATGAGGTTAGAATTTCCTGCTATTAAGCAGTCGTTTTCCCGCTTTCCTATTATAGAGGGAGAACGGGTAATAGAGGAGTAATTAATTTAGGATTAAGAGGAAAAGGACCTAGATCATTGGCAGAAGGTGCGGTGATTGCTAAATTACAAGGGATTAGTGTAGCCAAGGTTTTAACAACATGGGAGCCATGTTGACGTGCTGTTTGCCGCCTCCATTTGTTCAGGCAGCGACGCCCTGAGGTGCTGTTGCTGTGATACTGTGTTGAACATTCGTAATTCTTTCGAATAGTTCGACGCAGGATTTCTTCTTTTAGTCTAGCGCTCCTTTCTGCACGAGGATGTTTCTCCAGCCTTTAGGTAGCAGGAAAATTAAGGATCTTAGTGGCCACTTCCCAGGAGATTAGTCTAAAGTCCGTTCGATCGTCGATAGACAATCACGGAACCAGCTGGTTAGCAGTTAGGTGGGTGACTCTGGCGAATACATGCTGTTGGATAGGTTTACACCCAAAAAAGTTTATTTTTCTCACTGTTGCAAAGTTCTCCCAGCTCTGTACTTACATCTGAACCTATCCACACTTCGCACTATTCTTACGTTGCAGACTTTTCAACAACTTCCATGTTGCAGCGAATGCGGGTACCATTTCCCGAGTCGACGATGTCAGAATTTATGTTACACGAATACGGTAGATTAGGCTGCTTCCTCGTATGGCGCCGCACCCCAAGCAACGAGAACCAGCCTCGTCGCATGGATCGTTCTTTTTCGTGCTCATTGATGGGGGTGGATTACTTGCGAGGCTGAATTTAACTGTACTTCGGGAATGGCGAAATCGTGGGAGCCTCAGAAGCCGATCTGAAGACTCTCATTCATGGATCTTCATCGGTCGCCTTGGCAAGTTCGTATTGGGCCGAGATCGTTGTTCATTGAAGATTTTCTATCGAAGAGTAGTAGGCTTAAGGCTATCGTTATTCTTTCTCTGAATTTACTTGGCTATAAGAGATTTCCCTCGTTCAAGTCTCTTCTTCACTCCATTCTTCTATCTCCATCTCCTGGAGGAAACATCTCATCGTTCAGGGGAAGAGATTTCAGTCCCGCACGTGCAGATTCACAACAGCCCACCAAGCCACTAAACGCTCTCCCCAGCCCCGTCATTCGTCCATCCGTAACAAATATCTTGGCAGCTGAAAACCATTTCGTCCCGCATTCTGAACACACCACCACGCTTCATCCCTGGCCCAAGCTCCAAAGCTTATTTTCTGACCGGTGGCCCAAACCCTTAAATAAGAATGCGAAAGATCTGGGAGCAAGGCTGATTGCGGAAATTGTCCCATGGGCCCTGGTCTGATGATTTGCGGGATTCACAGTGATGAGCAGGGCAACGGACCAGGCGCTTGTTTTTGGAGTGGAATGCGGGATACGAGATCGTTGAGATGCCTGGATCCTGGATTGCGGAAACTGGCGGGTGGTGCGGCATGGAGGTCGAAAAATGATGCGAGCGTGCAAGGACGGGAAGGTGAAGATGCTGGGATAAATACGACCGCATCGCCGACTGCATGCCGTCCTTGTTGTCCTTGTCTAAGGTCATGAAGTCCGGGTCGCGCGCATTTAATCTAACACTTCTGCACATTTGACTCGACGCTTTTTGAGGATTATTCCCTTCCTTGAGGTACTGGCAATCGTAACTGTCAGAATTCAGCATGGTTCTTTCTCGGTATATCCTCGCTGCGAGCGCGATCCTTTCCCTTGCTCTTGCACACGCACCAAATCTTGGTGTGAGGGCTGCCTTCGGAAACCAGGCATTCGGGATTGCGAATGAAGAAGGACTTACACCTGAAGTTATTGCTGAAGACGAATACCAAGCCGAGTGGGCTCCCGCCGCGCTATCGCATGAAAAGAATGCAAGTCAGCCGTTGCTGAAAGATAGAAGCTTGGAGTTACACGGAAGACAGCTCACTTGTAATCCTGGATATGGATATTGTAGTGGTATGTGAAGTCTCTCGGTCTGATACTATTATTATGGGAGCAATTCCTACGCAGGGTATTGGACGAAGCGTAGACTTCCAATTCATCTTTTCAATTTTGTGGCCCTCCTGAGTCCTAAGTGCAATCTAACAAACCCCAGCTTTCGGACGATGCTGTCCCGATACAACTCTCTGCTGCAGCTACGGCTACTGCATCGCACCCGCCGATACATGCTGTCCTAACGGCGCTTGTGACCCTGGCTGGGGCTGCTGTGGTTCGAAATGTGCCCCAAAGGACGGCGACTGCTGCTCCGACGATCACTATTGCGAAGCCGGCAACATCTGCGTGAAGCTCTATTCTTCTGGTCGAATCGTATGCTGCACTGACCTGAAATGCACTGCTGCTGTCATTTCAGGAACTACCAGTTATGTTTCCACAACCTCACGAGCAGCACCGTCGATCACGGCACCTCCGAGCACAACAAGGATCGTGAGCGTAGGTGGGACCATTGAGACATGGTATTGGACGGTAACATGGTGGTATCTCAGCTTCTATTGGAGCACGTCTAGAGCTACGAGTACAGTGACGTTCACCCGGATTTCTGAAACCACCACGTTCACTACCACCGCAACCGACGAAACACAAGCTCGTTCTCTCTTCTCCGCACTTTCTGCGACACTTACTTTCGAGCCTCCGTCCTCCGCGCACACGAGCCTGGCTTCTCTACTGTCTCAGCAACCTCAGGAGACGGGATCATTCACGCTGGGGGATAATTTCAGCACCGGGTTTGGGGCCCAGCCTACCGGGAGCTCCAGTCCGCCTGGCTCAAGTAGTTCGAGAAGCAGCACAACTGTGCAACCAACGTCTGCTGGGACTACCACTGCTGGTCCGGCTGCCGGAGGTCCAAGTGCAGCAAGCGGGGTGTTTGTGCAGTGGGCCCTTGTAATACTGGGGGCGGTTAGTGGGACGCTAATGATTTTGCTTTAGGGAATATTCTCAGTCGGTGGAGGTATTGGGTGAATATATATACCATTGGAGGTCGTTCTATGGAGATAGGAGAGGACTTCGCTATGCATGTAATGTTTAACTTGAATATATCATTGGCTTTTTAGTTCAGTACTTTTGTGACTTTTGAGAATATGTTTACACTATAAACCACAAAACACTCAGGATCCTTTATGAGGAGCTAGCACAGGGATCGATGAAACCCGCGCTGGAGGTTATGAAGCGACCAGGTGCAGGCGAAGCCCTTAGACATGCATCTCCCACATTACAATCATCGCCCCCAACCTCTGACATCATCCAAAAATCTCACTAGCGGAAACTTAACACACCTAACTCAGCAATCATATGAGATCACTATCGCATTCAAAACACGCTACCCACAGATGATGTCATATTGCTGTGCCAAGTTTCCAAGCAGATGCAGGGAATTCCAGGTACCACGCGCACATCAGCCGGTATCCGATGATCTGGAATGAGCATGGTGCATATTGGTGATGATGCACTTTGTTTTTCCTGTAGATGGCTGCGGCTCCCAGTTTCCCTTTCTGCTGTTTTGCATGGCTCAGTTAAAGTTCTGACACCGGCTTGTCTCCATTCTATATGTTCTAGATACTATGGGCCCGAGAGATTAGGATCATGATGGTGTTTCTGGACAACACGTGCCGTTGTATAGTAGTGGGGAGAATGTGAAGGATTGCGGCTAGGAGCGCGAAATGGGCTATTAATATACGGTTCCCCCCTCTTCTTTCACGGTTCTGGATATGTAGGTTCACGGTGTTTATAAAAATGTCATCGTCAACATTCTCCTACTAACTGCAAAGGGCGTCATAGACATCTATTCCTCTTCCCTCTCTCTCATAGCATCCATCATTGACTCTGCTCCAGACCTCCTTTGCACCATCATGATCTGGAGCACGAACATAATCGTCTAGTAGAAGCTCGCACGCCTGCGAAAGAAATTCCAGTCGGTCATCGCCGCCTCGAGCCGATTCGCATCCTCGTCTTCTCATAATCGTTTCGTTCCTCCAGATCCTTCAAGAGTCTGTCCCGAAACTCCTTCGAAGCGGGGCCCACAAGGTTGCAGAGCTGCAACCTGTAGCGATCTTCGCTATGGTCACGGTGTTTAATAGAACGTAGTACTGTTCCTACTGTTACTGATAGTAGCAATCTCCTAGCAGTTAGAACGAAAGTGAATTGCCTTCCGTTACTGTACGGTTAATGAGGCTATAGTTACTGCAGTAACTACCTATACTTATTGATTTCTTGGTGTTTTTGTAACGCGTTCTCGGAAGAAGTTTTCGTGCGTAGTATTACGAGGGCTGCTGTGGAACAGGAGGCACGCCTGGCAAACGAGCTGTAACAGTATATTGATAATGCACACGCACACATATATAATTAGCTTTTTGCTATTTTTACTTTTTTTCTTCTTTATATAATAAACAACCTAATATAGTAACTCTAAGCTGAGATGTAGACTTTATAAGTTAAGTTTTAGTTAAAAGTTTAAAGCTTATATGCTAAAAACTAAGTACTATAGGCTACATTTGATATTATTACTACTAGTACTTTTTTCTGTCTAAAGCTAGTCCTTCTTACACTAACTAGATTTAATAGTAAGCTATATAGATTTAAAACCTAGCTGCTAACTAGTAAAGCTAAAATAGTAGTAGATAGTAAAGTAATTATAAATAACATAGCTTAATTTTACTTTATATAAGACAACCTAAAGCCTATAGTGTAGGCTACTATACTACTACTGCTATTAAATGCTAAAGAATAAAGTTAATAAAACTATAAAATAATGTTATAGTAGCTATAATAAGTATATACTAATTTTAATAAAATGTATAAGGCTTAGTAGACTCTATATAAGCTATAGTAAAATAAAAGTAAGCTTTTACTAGCTTATATTACCTAATTTAAGTAGATCTTACATAAAGCTAAAAGTAAAGATTAGCCTACTACTATTGAAATTATAATATTTTACTAAGGTCTTAATGCCTTAATTTAGCACAAACTAGATAGCTAATTAGTACTACTTGTCACGATTGTGCACGAGTAAGGTTATAGAGCTTCACAGAGGTCTAGTTTAATTACTATGTAAGGTATTATAGTAGGTACAAGACGTTGTGTAAGGAATAGAAAGGTTTAAAAAAAAATTAGTAATTAAATACTTAGCTTAAAAGTCTAAGCACTTTAAGTATAAATTAAGCCTATTTTAGGTTTAGTTAGTGTTAAGGCAGTTTATACTTAAGTTTATGTCTATATTATGTTATGTTTATGTTAAACATGCACTAATAATACTCTAGTACACGTCTAATACAGTTATGTCTAGGATCTAGGGAGGATACTGTAACAGTACTTCTCTTCTTATTAGAAAGAGAATCCTTTACATTAGTAGTTCTAGCATTAGGTTGTCTTTATTAGGGTACAGGTTTAGTTTAGATAAGTATTAGGCATAGAATTAGGTTACTATAAAGTTCTTTTACAAGGCTTTTGTAGGTTCCTACAACAGTTTGTTGTATTTAGTCTATTTTATAAAGTATTTATAAATATATATTTTTTTATTAAACTAGATTTATTTAACATCTTTTATAATATATTCTAGTTTATTGTTTATAATAATAGGTTTAGGTAGTAAGTTTAGCTATCTAAGTAGATAGTTAGATTTAGAGGCTGCTTAGCGCAGCAACAATACGTGGAACATAGGGTGTATCTTTATGCTGTTAGGTAGGATTAATTAGTAAGCGTGTAATAAAACTATATAGGCTACTATAAAAAGGCTAAAGTTTTTCTAATTAAGTTTTTTTAATTATTAGTTTATTTAGATATTTCTAGCGTCTAGCTAGACCTTCTTGCTAGCTGCATATATAGGGGTAGAAGTTTAAGATTAGTTTACGTACTCTTATTAAAAAGCTTAAGCCTATGTAAGCTTTTTATAAATGTATTTAAATATATTTTAGATCTTATTAATAAGTCTATTTATATCTATTACTTATATAAATTAATAAGTTAGTTAGAGGGTATTTAAAAGTAGTTTAAATCTTATTTAGGGGTAGTATCTATAGTTTACTAAAAACAGAGATACTTATGTTAATTTAGATGTTATATTATTAACTTTAAACTATACTATAGCTAACTATTTTACCTAGTTATTCTGCTAGTAATTTATGTACACTTATAAGACTTATTTTATTACAGTGTTTATGTTCTTAGTCTAGCTGTTAGTCTCTAGGTAAAAAGCTGTAGATAAATAAAAGATAATTTAGAGCTATTTATAGAGTTTGTCTTAGAAGGCTAAGACAAACTGCGTACCTTTATCTAATATAATTATGTTAGGCAGGCTATAGTAAACTTATACATATTAGTAGAATAACTAGGCTATATTAGGGGCAGTTATAAAGAAACATAGTATTAAGTGTTAATACTTAGTTAAGTAATTAATAACTACTATAATATTTATATTGTCTAAACGTTAATTAAAGGTGTATTAATCTAACTCTGTGTAGATATCACGTGAGCTTATCTTACGTAATATCTGTGCAGGCTTAGCAGGGAGCTAGTATAAAACTAGCTATCCTAACGTACTTAGGATGGCAGCTGTCACTAGAATTAATACATTATGTTGCCTACTCACCTCTTAGTACACCTCTTAGGCGTACGTTTATTTAATTAAACCTAGGTTAACTAACACTAATTAGTCTATTAATAGACTATTTACTGCGTGCGTAGCTACGCAGAGAATATTATCCTTAATAGACAGATTTGCAAGGATTAACAAAACTGCTACTGTACAAGAAGCTTACACCTACCGCGTGCGTAGCTACGCAGAGAAGGTACAAAGAAGCTTACATCTACTATGTGCGTAGCTACATAAAGAGGGGTAAGTAAGCTTTATGCGCGCCTCTAAATTAACTAATTGCACAAAGACAAGATTAGCAACCCGCCGCATGTGTAGCCACGCAGAGAGGGCTTACTACTAAGCCTTTGTGCGCCCTAGAGCCTCCTGTTAATACAGGCTGTGCAACTACTTACCTACCGCGTGCGTAGCCACGCAGAGGAGACAATACAGGCCGCACAATTAGAAACCTACTGCGTGTGTAGCTACATAAAGGAGGCTTCTTATTAGCAGCCTGCCTTATTAACACCCCCTTAATTAATTGCCTGCATAAGAGGTAATTAATTAGTTAACATTACACATACAAAAGCCTATAATATACCTCTCCCCCCCTACGTCGCCTAAACACGCTGCAACCTAACATCTATTGCCTGCATAAAAGGCAATTAACTAACACCTCTTTTCCTCCCTCCCTAGGGATTAATTGCCCGCACAGAAGGTAATTAACCTACACTCCCCCCTAAGTTATAGCGTCTTTATACACTTTATATAAAGAGTTATTAGGGGTTACACATGTGTCTAAAATAATCTTACGCAGAGAGGTAGATTTAGATCTTCTGCATAATAAGATAAATATAGACTCTCCCTTACTATAATAATAAGCTTTATACGCAGTGTACATCCTTTCTAACATGCGTAAGCTGCTAAGAGAAAGGTACACACTATAAAAGCAGAACAACTTTAAGAGATAGACAACACATAATTTTAATAACCTCCTTTATGTAATTAGGCAAGAACTTTTTTTTGCTCTAGCTAAGCATAGGCACTATCCTAAAGGCAGGTTAAATTATACGCAAGCTAAGAAGCTAGAGGATATTATAAATAAAAGGAGCACTAAGGGTTAGCTCTAGGAAAGGAAGTAAAAGAGTAAAGAAAAGAGAAAAAAAAAAAAGTAGGATTAACATACAAATAAGTAAGCAACTTTATAAAAACAAAAGTTGCTAGTGTCTAAACATTAATTAAAGGTGTATTAATCTAACTTTATATAGATATTATGTGAGCTTATCTTACATAATATCTGTGCAGGCTTAGCAGAGAGCTAGTATAAAACCAGCTATCCTAACGTACTTAGGATAGCAGCTGTCACCAGAATCAATACATTGTGTTGCCTGCTCAC